AGAACACTTCAAAGAACTCTTGAATCGACCAGCCCCAATGAAACCACTCAACATCAAAGCAGCACCCACGGACCTCCAAATAGATGTCGGCCCGCCAACAGTTGAAGAGATCAGCATGGCCATCAGACAAATCAAGAGTGGTAAAGCAGCAGGGTCAGACAACATTCCAGCAGAGGCACTGAAAGCAGATATAGCAGTAAATGCAAGGATACTCGACGTTCTATTCAGCAAGATTTGGGATGAAGAACAAGCACCGACAGACTGGAAAGAAGGACTTGTGATCAAAACACCGAAGAAAGGCGATCTCAGCAAGTATGATAACTCCAGAGGCATCACTTTTCTCTTAATACCAGGAAAAGTCCTCAACAGGGTGTTGCAAAATAGTATGAAGGACTCCGTAGACGCACAACTTTGAGACCAACAGGCTGGATTCTGTAAGGATCGATCGTGTACAGACCAAATCGCAACACTACGGATCATTGTGGAACAAACAATTGAATGGAATTTACCGCTCTACACCAGATTCATTGAATACGAGAAATCATGTGAAAGAATGGACAGGACAACACTATGGAGGCCTCTTCGACACTACGGAGTGCCTGAGAATATAGTCAGTATCATACAGCATTCCTATGATGGATCAAACTGCAAGATCGTGCATGCAGGAAAGCTGACAGACTCGTTCGAAGTAAAGACCGGTGTCAGGCAAGTTTGCTCAATCTCACTCTTCCTCTTTCTCCTGCTGACCGACTGGATCAACATCTGGAAGCATGAGATACAGTGGACAGCTAGGATGCAATTGGATGATCTAGACTTTGCAGATGAGCTGGCTCTTCTATCGCACACGCAACAAAAATTGCAAGGGGAGACGACCATTGTGGAAGCAGCCTCAGAAGCAGTAGGTCTCGACATACACAAAGCGAAAAGCAAGATTCTCCAATACGACACAGCATGCAACTATCGAATCCCACTTGACAGGGAAGATTTGAAAGTTGTCGAAATATTTACATATCTGTGCAGCATCATTGAGGAACACGGTGTATCTGATGCAGATGTGAATGCAAGGACCGGAAAAGCAAGACTAACATACTTACAACTGAAGATCGTCTGAAATCTGGATAACTACGAAAACTCTCATCCAGAAGATACAAGTGTTTATTAACAGTTGTCTACGCGCAATACTCCGGATCCGTTGACCAGACACTATCAGCGACAACCTTCTATGGGAGAGAACAAACCAGATCGCAGCGGAGGAAGAAGTCAGGAAGATGCGCTGGAAGTGGATAGGACACATTGAGGAAAGCAGCGAACTGCGTCACAATGAAAGCCCTCACATGGAATCCTCGAGGTCGAAGGAAGAGAGTTGAGCTTGACTATGAACACCGCTACCAGACTACGTGCAAGTCAAGCAATAAGATCCCCGTAGGCCAATATCAGAAGACAGATGATAGTAGTAGTTGTAATATATTTGTTGGCAATCTCGTGGTATCGAAAGAATACCGAGATCGTGCCAAAGGAGTACAAGCGTGGTTACTGAGCGTAACCGAATTCGTACAGGTTCAAAGTAAACGGGAGAGTAAGTAAGTGTAATGGCTGTCATTAGTACAGTTAAACAAACGAGCACAATAAAACAATCACTGGTACAATTGGTTATAATAATAATCGTTTTCATTGAGCCAATCGCGTTCTGTTGACAAAAGTAGGTCACTACAGGAGTAACAGGTGATAGTAGGTAATGAGTTTGTTTGGTCGTCAGTTTGTTGGTCTGGTAAAGTACAAATTGTCTTACGATTTTGTATTTAGTTACCATTGCTCAGTCGATGGAACTTTTTAACTAAAATATCAGAATTAATATATAACCGGATGTCTTTTCCTACAAATTATTACAACAAAACTCACATTGTCAAATAGCTAGAGAACCGGCGGGCTAGAAGCGAGTTGAGTTGTCGTATCATAAACGTCATGAAAATTATCACCATACTCTCTGGATTTGTAAAGGAGTTTACCTTTTCAGGATGGAGTCAGAAATCAACGTTAGATTGTCATTAGCATTGAAAACCTTGGATGGTGGTCTTACATTGATCGATTCATGAACTTAATGAATTTCAACAACTACATACTGAAAATTATAAATTGCTCACCAATGACTAGCTTCCGGTGTTAGTTCCCGGAATTCTAGTGAGAAGCCGTGACAAGTGGTCTAACCGCGTCGGGTGTGCGGCAGTTACCAACCGAACACAATGGAAGGTGATCGCGCAATGTTGGTTAAACTTTGATCGGTTCATGTCTTCAATGAAATTTTGATGTTCTGTTATTGACTCATTTTATTGTTGATATCAGTTATACAGCTCATGATGGTGACGAGAACGATGTCAAGTATTATATACAAAAGAAAAAGCCTAGAAAAGTAAACTTGGAGTAGTTTTCAGTGAAGAATAGAGAATTCAGGGAGAATGCCCGTGAACGTCAACGATAGATTATGAATACTCAACAAATAGACACTAAATAGTGTATCAGTCAGGCATTTGAAACGTAGGAATATATGCACTGTGAGTCAGTCGCAATGTATGACCATGAATACATCGGTCCAAGTTGCCACACGTCATCAGCATAACAAGATGAACACCAAATTCATCCAAGTAGTTACATCAATGGTAGTAATATATAAAAGAAAGATTGTGCATAAGGTTGTAGTAGAAGAAGAAACAATTAAAAAAAAGTGTAAACTAATTTCGATCTCACGATTTAAAGGAAGACAAAGAGGATCTTCACCTACGCCATTGTGATCGGTTTCAATCCATGTCAACCAGACTTTGCAACAATTGGTTCGATAAACTAGACCTTTATTTGATGTTACGATCAATAGCAATGAGAAGACTTTTTTTGTAATTTCGCCGGCAACGGTGAACATATTTCAAATGATGACAAAGTTGTCCAATCTATTTCCCCTTGCAACACAACTCTTACTTTACCCCATCCTATGAGTACTTATGAAACTACCAATTACGATTTATACTCTAACCTGCTTCCCCATGATAACTCTCAGTTTCGATAATGTAATAAAAAGACGGAGATTATCAGAACTATGTGATATATTAGCGCAATACATTTCGAACAATCTGATCACACATATACTTGTTAAGAGCATTTATATATAAATATAAAAGGTCAACTAGACTGGAAATAGGTAAGAGGAGACTACAAACTGGTTCAGAAGTCTCCCTGGCAATTTTTTACCGAAAGTGGACTGTGTCTCCTGTACAAACTGTGACGATGGACCACGGATGAACTCGGAAAAGCTGTAAGAGGCTCAGAAGGAGCCGAATATATTCCATCCAATCACCCTTTGGAAGAATATTCTAGGATTTCTGCGCGTAGCTTCCCGATTGGACAAAGCTAATAACCCCCTGTATGCGGATTGGAGGACTATAATGATGATTTTGTTCCTACTAAAAACTATAGATACCTGAAAATTTTGTGCTGTAATTTGCACTGTATGGAATAAAATTTCTTTTATTAGTCTTCTCATTGCGACTTGAAAGTGTTTTGGCGTTCTAGTACGGTGTATCAAGAAACAACCTTTTAGATATAACTCAAACAAGGTCCGTCATGTATCTAATTGACGGAAAACCAAAGTGTAACCTTTGAAACTTTCAACGTCTATTTTAATTTATTTTTATTCATCTCAATATATGAAGTCTGCTTTTGTTCGTATTTATAATTAATACTGTTATTAATATCATTATTGGTCCTTCGACACATAAACAAATTAACGGTTGCGCAGCTTTTAGGTCTAAAGAATTCTTCCTAGGTTTCGGCAGGAAATGTTTTGACTCACTCTAATTCCGTCAAAGACTGGTAGTGTTCGAGTAAAGAGCCTTCACAGGGTTCATGTACTTCCGAGGTGGACCTTTCAATGACACACTGCCATAGAACCTCTTGGTCTACAGAGTCAAATGGTGCCTTTAGGTCAAGAAAGACCACCATTATCGGACGCTGATAAGCATGCTTGTGTTCTAGAACCTAACGAATGGTGAATATGTGGTCGAGGCAGCCAAGACCAGGTCTGAAGCCAACCGGGTTCTTGCATTTGCAGTTCACGAGTCTCTGTTAGGCACCCGATAATCTTTGAGGCTAGCATGTTAGAAGTCATGAGTCAAATTACTCCCCTTATGGTTATCACAGGTTGATTTTGATCCTTTCTTATATTTTGGGACAATCAGTGATTGCGACCAGTCAGATGAGATTATGTCCAACTCCCAGATTTTAGCTAAAATATTGGTCAATCTGGTCGCTAAAACTGGATCAGCTTCTCTACTACGTTTCAGATCAGCAACAATTTCTGAATTTCAATTAAAGTCGGAGGGCTTATTTTAATGTTCCACTCAGGCTGTTTGTAAATGGTTGGGATCTGAAGGTTTACATAATTCCTGCTTCTGAGCTTAAATAACTACTTGACAAAAGCAGAAAAATCGTGAGTTCAAGGTCGGTGGACTGGCTGAGTATATTCTTGTCACTGCCAGGAACCGCATTATGCGTAGTGGTAGACCATTTACAGATTTGTTTGAATACGACATACCTAACTTAAGCTTGAACCAGTCTACCGGTGGGACTGTGTTTATGTTGGTTTGGAGATTGTTACATACGGTACTTATTTCCAACAAGAAGCAGAATCCATTCTGAGTGGTTGGTCACTGTAAAGCTATTCAGTTAGTATTTACTCGTGGATTGCACTGGTGGGTGTCTAAGACTACTTTGTTGAGATAGCATGAAGATTGTAATGTCACATCTCTTTGTAGCTAAACACGAATAACTCCAACCGTCCGAGATCATAACGTCTTATAATGATTCTGGTCGTGCGTTTCTAAATTTTCTCCGAAAGATTTAAATGTTTTGTTTAAAGTAATTTTGATTTTAAGGCAACGCGTGACGTGCATTTTAAACAGCGTAAAAACAGTGAATATACCTAGCTGTCTAAAGAGGAACTAAAAATAACAGACTTTAGGTACGTTTTCTCATATGATTAGAATCCTGAAAGTACAATTACTTAATATGTAATTACATTATCCAGAAATGTATCAATCAAAATGAATATTTAAATATCGAAATCCCCTTTCAGCCGGCCATGTATTATAATAATCTCTGTTGAAAATGTGTCAATTATATTACTGAACGGATTTTTGGAACCATTACATAAACAAATTAAAAATTAACTTAAAATGAAAATTTATTAAGGATGCTTTTAGTGTTAAAGAAATAAGAAACAACTGTTAACGAGTATGTTATTTTCCAATCAGTTAATTAGAAAAAAAACGTTTAAATGTTTTTTTTCAAAGGAAAGAATAATTACAAAAGTGTACATACGACATCATTTTTACAAATAAAGTGCAAATCCTATACTTTTTATTTCCTACGGTAGGGGTTTAAAAGAAGTTCGGAAAAGTCTTGGACAGACTTTATTCCTCTTACCTCATTTTCTAATTGAGGTAATTGTATGACATGCATGTCTTCATATAGTTCTAAAATTTGTTCCAGATATTTCGATTGTATTCGATGACGTGCTAAGCACATTCGACAAGTAGATGGAGGTTCATTAGAATGATCCTTAGATGAGGCATCACATGATGATAATAAATTTGGAAATAACAGTTGATTCACAATGACATTGTGGACATCAATATCATGTGCAGTGAGTTCCTATAAATTTAAAAATAATTAGATAAAATTGTCACAAATTTTTATGCAACAAAACAATAAAATGAAAGGTGACTTGGCAAATATCTGGATGATACGTTTGTGTGAAAAATAGAATGAAAGGGTAAAATTACATTTCTAACACATTATGATTCTTGCTCAACATTACTTTGGTTTTAAATTCAATATGATTATTCAGTATGATATTTGCTTTGCTTTCAATGTGATAATTTATTCAGTACAACATTGATTTATTTCAGTGAGATGTTTATTCAAGATTTGATATTCTTTAGATATAAATCAAGGCGAACTATTTTCAGCATGATATGCAGCATGCGATTTTTGTTATAATTTTATTTATGTGACATTTCCCAAATAATTAATTAAATGGGTGTACAAATCAATAGATTTCCAACTAGGGTCATCGTATTTATTTTGCAGTCAATCTTCACTTTCACTAATCTTCCATGTTCTAACATCACGTTGTAAGAATAATAGTGATGCACCGTTTTAAGTATAAGTAATAGGCGACGCAGACGCAACACAAACAATGAGAAGTGAATGCGGTTATTTAGTTACTCTGAAGTGGCTTGCACTAAGTCACAAAACGTCAAAAATACAATTTTCCTACTCATTGGGATATAACAAAAAATATATTTATTATTGACTTTCTACTTTATGCCCAATTTATTTGAAACTAACAAACTCAAACTTGGCGTTGATACCTATAAATGAGAAGTGAAGATTGAACATGGATATTTGAAATTATAAACAAAAAAATACATCACAAGTATTTCAGACCAACAAAGAGTAAAGTGAACAAATTACACTGTTAGGCGATTGTTAACGGGAATTCATTCTAATGGTGCTTATTGTGACCTCGTACTCAGTGCTATGCCTACATCTGTCAATCCATGATAATTTGCCGTTGAGTTGCCAGATAAACGGATGGTGTATCTCGTCGGCTCTCCGTTTTGTCGAGGTGAGGTCAAGTAAATGGGCATAGTAAGATTCTTGTGCGTGTTTCAGAGATACAGAATATATCAATGATACGAGATTCTTAGGTTTTAGCCATGGAGACCTGCTGACCGATTTGATATAGTAGGCGCAAGTTGAAGGCTTCAATGTGTAGTTTGGAGGGAGGTTTCAGTAGACCTGTGACAGTGTTTAGCGCACTAGCTTCGTTGGACATGATTACAATTGAAGAGGAATCCAAAAGAGGAAGTTTAGAGTTGAAAGTCGATGTAGGAGAAGTAATAGGAATTGAAGAGGAAGATTGATTATGAATACAGTCACCTTGAGTGTTGTTGGAGGCATGAGGACAGTTATCACTTCCCGGTTGCCCACACCGTGGAAGGGTTCTGCTGGAGGTACCTGAAAAGGAAATTGGATTAGAGGTGGTCATAGTGACCTGAGAGCGTGACCGCAGTGCCCAAGGGACAGCTGCTTGAGGTCGGTCACACACGACCTTTTTGTGTTATTGGAACCTTGTCGCCGAAGACGGAATTCTGTGGGAAAAGCGAGGTGTGCATTTTTAGGGTCGACTTTTTCCAACCTCACCCTTCCGTGTGGGGAGGCAGCATCGCTGTTATGCGATTTGTCTGAACGAAACACCTTACTGCTGTCACACCTCTTTACAGTCAGCAGCACGACTTCATCCTCAGACCTTGGGTTTGCTACTTTTAGTCTTATCGCTCTTCAACCAACCTGTCTGGTATGGTAGGACACTCTTGAATTGACCAGCTCCACTGAACTCACCCAACATCAAAGCAGCACCCACGGACCTCCAAATAGATGTCGGCCCGCCGACAGTTGAAGAGATCAGCATGGCCATCAGACAAATCAAGAGTGGTAAAGCAGCAGGGTCAGACAACATTCCAGCAGAGGCACTGAAAGCAGATATAGCAGTAAATGCAAGGATACTCGACGTTCTATTCAGCAAGATTTGGGATGAAGAACAAGCACCGACAGACTGGAAAGAAGGACTTGTGATCAAAACACCGAAGAAAGGCGATCTCAGCAAGTATGATAACTCCAGAGGCATCACTTTTCTCTTAATACCAGGAAAAGTCCTCAACAGGGTGTTGCAAAATAGTATGAAGGACTCCGTAGACGCACAACTTTGAGACCAACAGGCTGGATTCTGTAAGGATCGATCGTGTACAGACCAAATCGCAACACTACGGATCATTGTGGAACAAACAATTGTATGGAATTTACCGCTCTACACCAGATTCATTGAATACGAGAAATCATGTGAAAGAATGGACAGGACAACACTATGGAGGCCTCTTCGACACTACGGAGTGCCTGAGAATATAGTCAGTATCATACAGCATTCCTATGATGGATCAAACTGCAAGATCGTGCATGCAGGAAAGCTGACAGACTCGTTCGAAGTAAAGACCGGTGTCAGGCAAGTTTGCTCAATCTCACTCTTCCTCTTTCTCCTGCTGACCGACTGGATCAACATCTGGAAGCATGAGATACAGTGGACAGCTAGGATGCAACTGGACGGTCTAGACATTGGGTAGAACTGGAGAGAAAGGCTCAGGACAGAGTGGGTTGAAGAATGCTGATCGGCAGCCTACGCTCCATTGGGAGTAACAGGCGTAAGTAAGGAAGTAAGTGTTACGAGGAAAGCCATAATTTAACATCCTGAAGGGAAACAGAAAAGAGGAAGATCAAGGAACACATTGGGCAGGGAATCGAAAGCAGACATCAAAAGAATTAACAACAATTGGAAACAACTGGAAGGAAGAGCCCAAGATACAGTTGGTTAGAGAATCCTGATAGGCGACTGATGGTGCCATGAAGGGTAATAGGCGTAAGTAATTATTGAGTATAAGTTCGAAAAAATAGCGAATTCATATGCCGAAAGGAAACATCAATCACCCAAATGAATTATTATTTGAAACCATCACTCACTATCGAGACATACACTAATGCTGAACTGATCAATCAGATACACATTTTTAGATACTGAGAGTTAGAAAAATGTGTTGACAATTTTACAGAGCTTTGATTACTGGAACATGTACGTCCCTATTCAGCATATCAAAATTGGGTATCACTCAATTGACAAGTCGTGTGGAAAAGATGGTATAGACTTTATCTGTCGAGAAGCACACATATTTCGGAGTGCTATGACTTGAATTGATATTCTGGCAGCATAACACACTTCAGTTTAAACAAAATCTAACATTTAGCAGCCCCCAAATGCCCTGGTGGGGTGGGTTTGCCCTCCTCGAAACACTCTCACACGGCCACGCGTATACAGCCTCTGCCAAGGAAGTCCTTACTCACTGTCTTCTCGTGGCGGGGGTGTTGTTTACGAAAATGAGAGGAGGAAAAGCGAATGTCCGGCGCTTTAACCGGATCCCAAATCAATGGTGCACATGGGCTCCAGTATCCTGAAGGAACAAATGGCGCATGAACCGATTTCTCGGTCACCGGCTACCATGGGACTGCATCTCCTCACGATGCTCCACTGCCTTGTGGGTTAGACCTTTAGGTTAAAGCCTAAGGGTGTGGCCCCCAAAGAAGACCACCTGCTTCGTTCTGGGCACCCGGGCAGTATCTCAGCCTACACGCAAATATAATGATAATGAAAATGATGATATTCACTGAAAACTCTATTCTCGCTGCGATTTACTGTCAAACAATTCACATTATTATTATTATTATTATTATTATTATTATTATTATTATTATTTACCACGTCATTTATTCACTCTCTTTCATTCCAACTCTGGGTATGCTTATTTTTTAACTTATACAGCAGCTCGCCTATGGTGGACATTTGGCTCTATCTAAACGTTCTCGAGTCACTGCCTGGTTGAAAATTGTATGTTACCACCGAATACGAGCACTGAAGCAGTTTTTCTGAAACCACGTGCACCATTCGAAATGGCTGCCTTCAACGTTCGCACACTTATACAGGTCGGACAACAGGTAGGGCTGGCTATGTCTTTGGAAAGTCTTAATATTGACGTTTATTGTCTATCCCAGACTCGTAAGCAAGACTCTGGTGAAGTACTACAAATTCGCTCTCCGTCTGTCACTTCGAAAGGCTTGTTTTACGTGCGTTTATCCGGGGACCCTGTGGCATCTTCCTCTGGTCTTGCTGGCGTTGGTGTCGCACTAAGCGCTAGAGCTGAGGCAGCACTAATCGATTGGATCCCCATTAACAGTCGGTTATGTGCTGTTAGATTAGAAAGTCCCATCAAAGTGAGAAGAAATCGGAGTGAGAAACGATGCCTTTTCGTCATCTCCGCCTATGCCCCGACAGATTGCAGCCCGGATGCAATCAAGGATGAGTTCTACCACCAGTTAACTGTTCTTCTCCAGAAAGTGCGTCCGACAGATATTGTAGTACTAGCTGGAGACTTGAATGCTCAGGTCGGGCGTCTAGGCACTGAAGAGAGTCTTTTAGGTGGCCGATGGGGACTTGTTAGTCGCAGGACAGATAACGGGGACCATCTACTGCAACGATGCAAAGACCACAACCTGTTTCTGGCTAGCACTAACTTTCGGCACAGTCATCGCCGATGTGCCACCTGGCGTCCTCCTTCTGCATCTCGTCGTTCCTGTAACAACTATAAGTCTACTTCCGATTGCGTCCAAGCTATTGGCTTTCGTCATACTTCGTAGGTTGTTCAGAACCCGAGAAAGATTGACTCGCGAAGAGCAGGCTGGGTTTCGTTCCGGTCGAGGATGTATTGATCATATCTTCACCCTCCGCCAAACTTTAGAACACCGTCATATTTATCAAAAGCCAACAATCGTAGTGTTTCTTGACATCAGGGCTGCCTTCGATTCGTTGGACAGAACTGTTCCCTGGGATTGTCTATTGAAGAACGGTGTGCCTGAGAAGTTTATTAACATCCTGAAAGCATTATACCCAAACACCTCAGGCAGAGTGAGGGCATACAACCACCTTTCTCCATTGTTCCATTCAAGCAGTGGGGTTAGACAGGGTTGCCCAATCTCATCATTCCTCTTCAACTTTGCCATCGATGACATTCTGGAAACAGCTCTGATGGATGTAAGTAATGGTGGTATGGATTGCTGGCATCCAGTGGCAACACCATGTCAGTAATGCAGAGGTTCGGCATCGAGTGTTCGGTCACAGAGACGATAATGAAATTGGTGTCACCATCTTGAAACACCGACTTCGGTGGCTTGGACATGTTCTACGAATGTCGTCCCAGAGAATTCCTCGTCGTGCATTATTTGCCGAATCTGGGACTGGTTGGAAAAAGCGGAGAGGTGGTCAGTATATGACATGGTGTCGTGGTATGAAAGAAAGCTGAAAAGGGCTGGCTTCTGTTGGTCCTTCACGACTCCCTGACTGGGGTCCGAGAGATGGTGCGACACCGTGGCTAGAGACGTTATTAGATACGGCTCAGAGTAGAAGCCAATGGCGATCCTGCTGTAGCCTTCTTTTACTTTCTTCATAAAAAGTGGTTGCTTCTTCCTGAACTGAAAGATTTCTTCTGATTGTACATTTCTGTTTCCCCCATTATTATTATTCAGTCAGTCAGTCAGAACAACGTGGAATTTCATACGTACGTACATCAGTTCGAGTTGCCATACAACATTAGGACAGAGATTCAGTTATCGATTCAAATCCCGTAGTGGTAGAGGTAGTGATAGGGAACATTAGGGTTTGATGATGTTATTTAAGGAGTGTAGTCCAGTGGAATAGATTTGGAAAGAAAATAAAGGACATGAAGAAGAAGATTAGAGTTTGAGAGAACACAGAGAGTGGATGCACCTGCGCCATTGTAAACGATTTTGAGCCACGTCATTATTATTATTATTATTATTACACTACCTTACACTAATCTGTTCGTTATTGTTCTTTTTTACACTCCTTACCTTCTTTTTCTTCTCTTCAAATTCTCATTGTTTTGTGTCGAGCATATATATTTGATGCCCTCTTGTACCAATATTTGTGTCCAAATAAATAAATAAATAAAGGCTGTTTAAACTTCTAGATATTGACAACCCAGGGGTGCAACGACATGAAACAGTAGGGATTTTTAGAAATTTGAAAAGAAACAGAATGCTTAACGAATAACTTACGAAGCCTTTGTCCTCAGCCAGGGAAAATAGAAAAAAATATTCACACCGACTGACATCGAAACTGTTTTCTATGATTGTGAACAGATTACAGGAAATTGCCCATTTTAAATTTATTTATAGCTCGTACTATATTTAAAAAATTTTAATTGCTCCCTCTCACATAAGAATGGTTTTAATTGCTTACTTAATAATTTAATGGAGCCAGAGATGTGACAATTTGAATTAACTCTTGTCTGAGTACAAGAATTACATTTATGTGCTAATCAAAGAGTTTGAATTATTTCATATTTAATTACCAGATATATCAATACATTAATGTGAAAGAAAGCCGATGAAACTAGTGCAGTTGTGCGAGTGTGCTCCAAAACCAATAATCTGGCCCTTCGAGAGCTTAGCTGTGAAGCGTGATAGATGCTCGAGCCTTACCTTAATTTCTACCACTAAGCTACTTGTTAAAGTGTTATTAGAATGGCATGGTGAGGTATATAGTAGTTAGTTTGCAAGAACTTAGTGGCTATATATAGCAAAAATACAAAAGTGAGTAAATTCGCCTTCTGTAATATCTGGTGTGTCATTAGGCCATAGTAGTAAATCACATAATTATTTAAAAAATGAAGATAAAACTGTGCCGAAAAAGAATATATAACTCACTTGAACTAAGCGTTCCGTTTCGTACATGCTTAAGAATTCGGGTATGCAAACACATACAAATGTAGTCTGAGTGGAATCTTTGAACTGCTTTGTTATTTCTTTAACGATAGGTAAACGTGTTTCTATTGCATTTGTTAAATCACCACCTTGTGTACTGTTCATTCCAACTAAACCCATTAACTGGCTTAAAATCGGAGCGAACTGCGAATTATTGAAAACACAAGAACAAACTATTCGAAAGAATCAACTTCAATTTAAACTTTGAATAATAGGGAGTAAACGGAAACACAAGATAAAAAGAGAAATTATATGCATTTATTTTGTGATTACATGCAAAACCCCATAATATATAGCCATAGCATATAGCGTTTCTAAACATAGTACTACGTATTTGATACAAAAAGATTACATTCATAATATGAAAATCTGCTTCAATACTCATGAATTATGAAGAATGTTTACTAAGATTGAAATGTAGAACAAATAATTTGGAATAATTTATTCTTTCGATGGCCTTTACGAACTAAATTGAGTCGAAGATGACAAGAATTCACTTGGCATTATCCACCTTTAACAACTGGTTGAGTTAGTGAAGCATGTAGACACTTGTTAAAGATTTTGTACAATGCATAACTGTGGACTAAGTTGAACTTTATAGCAGTAATATATGGCTGAATGTAATGGTGAGGTAAGTTATTTGGTAAACGACGTATTTCGACTATCGTTCACGTCTAAAAGATCAAACGACACTGGGTGCGGCACATAAATAAGTTTAAATAAATTTGTATGATTTCGCTATGTATTACGTAGGACCCGTTGGTAATTACCTTCACTCGTTCTTAAACATTTTAAAAAACAAGTATAGCAAAATGGTTCACGATGATGGACGGAAGATACCACAATTTACGCAAAAAAAGTATGCAAGACAAGTGCAAGATTATTTAAGCAACCGAAATAACTCTTTAATGCACGTAAAATATTTAGATTTTTCTGATGTGATACACAAATACTGGTCCAAGAGCTTCTCTATTCAATAGACTTTCCGTGTGGTTGACACAGCAGTATTATACGATGACATGCTAACTACACGAGTCGCACTAATTCGGTTCGTCCCAAACTACTGCTAAGGAAAAAGAAACATAACAAGAGGCAACAAATAGATAGTAACAACGTGTTAAGCGATGCAGCGAGATTAGATTATTGCAATTTTTATTCACATTTAATATTCGTAGTTTAAATAAGAGGTTCGTCAGCTGTTCCATTTGACGAAATTACACCAACTTACTACATGACTCAATCAGCAAGAAATTCACTTCCCAACCTAAATAATACTCCCAGAGTGGTTTTTCAACAAACAGAAAGTGTTTTCAAGATATTGAACTACTAATACATTTGATTTTCCAACACAATTTACATTTAATTCATGGCAGGCTCAATAATAAATTGACAGAATTAAATTTGGAATAATTTACTAGTCGCTAGATATGTATTATACATGGTTATTAGAATTTTACCAGTTTGTATGGGAAGATAAACCAGTCCTGGTAAATAAATGCCCCGAAGCCCTCTCAAGTGTTTTGAGTGAACCCATCTAGTAACCAATGAGAACAAGTAGTGTTTACTTGTAGCTATCGTACACATCTTAAATTGCCGTTAGTAAACATTTAACCAGTAAAAAAATGGTTTTCGAGAAAGTTGATCAGATTGAAACAATTTCTATTTACCTGATTTTTCATCGAGACTACTTTGCTAAGGCTTTTCTCCATAGCCTCTGGAAACGCTAACAATCGTAGTGTGTGGCCGGTAGGAGCTGTATCAAAAATGACGACTGAATAATCCATATTACGGACCAATCGAAACACCTCTGTATAAGACATATACTCATCCACCCCAGGGAAAGAAGTCATCAAGTGACCTATGGTTTTACGTATATCAGCAGAAACTGCGGCTTCTTCAGAACCAACAAGATCCTCTTCGAACTCTCCTAAGTTCACATTTGGATCAATTTCCATAGCAAAAAGATTATTAAAACCCTAAAACCAGAAAAGATTACATCCTGAACAGTTAGAATTGACGGAAAGTATTCCTGAAGTTTAAAAAGAACAATTTGAGAAACATCCTCTCAAATTTGAACGTCATTTAGTCAGATTTGTATTTAAGTAACTAATTTGCCAAGCAGAAATTTGTCCATTTATCTTCAGGTCAAAATACCTGTGCATTAGCTGCAAATACTACCTGGCTTTCTAAACCGAGATAGGAAGAATAGGACCCGAACTCGCGAACTATTATTTAGAACAGCAATCTCCTATTTACCAAGCCATCACTCATTTTGACGATGGATTCAGTTACGGATTGATATTAGTTCAAAAATGATTACACACGAGGCCATTGTACAGTTAAAACTTTTTGGAAGTCCCCATCTATGTCATCTAGTATTTAATACTTCACTAGATGATATCAGCCGTCAAAACTTTTCTGAAACCCGAATAATAATGATAATAGTAGTAACCTTATTCAATATTGCATGTTCAGTACCAAATAAGATTCTCAACAAACCCTCAAAATCACCTATTTACTCATTAGTGATTAGCTTCAGATATTTTCTGAAGTTTCACTGATAATCCCTGACCCCAGTATCAACCAGCTAGGCAGTAAGAAAGTTATCCACTCGCCACATTAGATAATGATCCCACTATTTTGCGAATCAACTGCGATTGGAACATATCAACTATTGGATACTAACATAGTTGCTGAATGCGTTTGTCGAGATCTGGAGACCATACACTTAATATAGTCTGGTAGTTTGTGTGCACTAACGAAAATCGTCAGCCGATAAAGTAACAGCTATCGCTTGCTTCTAGTTTGAATGGTTATCCAGTTGATGTCAGTCCATAGTGGACATTACCTTTGGTCTAATAAATCGTTAAGTCGGTAACGTTTGAAATAAACTTATTACCCATGACCAAATCAATAATTAAATTTGTAAATTACAAAACTTGAAATATAACGTGTGTATAAGATGTTTTGAAATAGTTTATCTTTCTAATATAAATGAATTAGTCACCAGGTGGTAATCATGACTTCTCAGTAGTTGTTAGTCCAGGTCAAAGTTGATATAACACTGAGAAATAACAAAACATTTGTGTTGTGTTACTAAGTGCGGACCCAAACAAAGTAGTCTGCATCTGCCAACATGACTTAGACTAGAAATTAGTGACTTCAATTACTGATGCCAAGTTTTGGATTGACCACCCCTAACATTCCTCCAACCATCTCCAACACTAGTCAGCATTCCGCGACGTGGTAATCGGTGTTCAGGCATACGCAACACGTGGCCCAACCATCTCAGTCGATGAAAATTCGTAACCTCATCAAGTGATTAACCACCATTCCCTAATACCCTGCAACAAACCTCACCATTACTTACCCGGTGACCACAGCAGGTGCGAGCAATATTTCCAAGACATATATGATTAAATACTAGTAGCTTACGAGTATCTTCCACTCTTAATGGTCACGTTTCGCAGCCGTAAAGTAGAACAGAATGAACTGCCGCGCAGTATACTTGCCGTTTTATTGATAGGTGGATATCTCGCCTTCGTCAGATGGCTTGAGACCTTAGCACAAATGACTCAAAGTAGAAGTTAAAGTTCTTCATAAACAGAAACGTATACCTTAAAATTAAACAAATTTCACCTTAGTTCCTATTCAGAACGTAACCTTCGATAGTCTTGATGTTTATTTTGATTAAATAATTTCCACTCCTATATATTTACGATCGTACAACTTCGTTTTGTATAATGTATATAATGAAGTCCGACTTGTGATAAATAAAATAACAGTAAAACTAAATGGCCAGGAAATGGAATGAATGCCAGCACTAACTGATCAAGTTATCACATAATACCAACTTCGTATACATTAAACGGTCTCATAGAAAACCAATAGCGGCCCTAATCCTTTAGCAGTATCGTCACGAACTGAGGCATTAAAAGACAATCAGAATTTTTCTACAGAATTGTATATATTTTCTTCAGATTAGCTCCAGCAAAGTCAAAATTCGGGTTCTATACTTCATTTTGATTGTTTTCTAACATCAAAAAACACAATTTCTCAAAAATAGTACATTTTTTAGTTGTCAATAGGGACAGCCTATTAAGTAATCAAACCGAAACTGTGAGGAGAAAAAATAATCTGGTATGTCTCTATAAACAGGAGGCAATCTTCAAATCTCATTTTCAGGTCTCCTACGTCTGATGAAATGAGTAACCAGTATTCCAGTGATTGCTTGAGTAATGAACCACATCTCTACGTCTACAAATGAAAAAGTAAGGAAACTTGGTTCTCTGAGTTACTGGCGAAAGTGTTTTACCAAATTGTGTGAATGAACTATGTTAGTGATAATATCTAGAAATTCGGCTCTACAAGTTTTGACAAGAAAACAATGAAGTCAGTGGCAGGCTAAAAGTGACATACATCCATTACCAAGATGGGCTGACAATTTATTTATTTATTTATTCATTTAAACACATAAGCATTGATACAAAAGAGGAACCAAATAGATATGCGCCACATAAATCGTTCAATTTGTGTAAGGTCAGGTATACTGCAGTGGTGCCCAAGCCGAAGCAGATGGTTTTCTTAGGGAGCTACACCCCGAGCCTTTGACATAAAAAGTGGAGAAAAGTGTCCTCAAATACGACCGAAAGTAGGGAGTCAGCTCTCCCTATCGAAATGCTCTTAAATAGCAACGTGCATACAACCACTACCAGTAAAGTCCTACTCACTGCCTTCTCCCAGCGGGGGTGTTGTTTACGAAATTGAAAGAACGAAAAGCGAATATCCGGAGCTTTAACCGAGTCGGTGAACACGGAAAGTCTACCTAGAGGAGTTGGAAAACCTTGGTTCCAAACCAATGGTACACATAGACTCCAGGATCCTGAGGGAACGAAAGGCGTATGAACCCATTGTTGGTCACCGGCTACCATGGAACTGCATCTCCTAACGTTGACCCATTGCCTTATGGATTAGACATTTAGATTAAAGGCTCAGGGTGCGGCCCCCAAGAAAACCTCCTGCTTCGGTTTGGGCACCCGAGTAGTAACCCAGCTAGCACACAAATCAATGATAACTACTACTGGCCTCATTTTCAGTGTGACGCATATGTATTTGGTGCTCCCTTGTAATAATGTTTATGTGTTCAAATAAATAAATAATAAAAACGTTTTGGTTAGTTAGTCTAAATAGTGGTTGATGCCTATCAAGGTGCCTAAGTGCGCCTATATTTACATTTGAGATACAAAGGAAGATAATCACAGCATTGGAGAAGTGTTGATGCTTTTAGTCCTATCTCACAATGATCTAGGGGTAATAGTGAGCCCCACCTCACTGCCTCGCGGTTGGAACCCTATTTTAATTTAGATGAATGCATTACAAATCGGATACGAAATTTTGTTACAATATACACAATTTTAGTACGATCCAGACTTGAAAACTGGGTTTAGACTGCAAGTCTATGCTTAAAAGATGACTAAAATACCTCAGAAAAATCACAAAGGACAGCTATAAGAACAATTCCAGAATTCCGAGGCTTACTTAAGGCGCCTTGAGAAGTTAGACCACTTTACTGAGTCTGATCATAAAGAGGTGATCTGATTTTGATGTATAGAATACTAAATGATTTCGGACCTGAAATATCCTCTCTCTGCTTCCTAAAAAATCAGCACAACTCAGAGGAGAAGAGCTCAGAAGTCAAGAACCGACAAAATATCGGCAGTAAACAGATTTTCCCACCGAGCCAACGACTTTCGGGACCTACCAACGTAAGGAGCGATGTCTATACCTTAAATCGACCCATCCAAGCGAAGACATGAGGCTCATAGAGGCTTGGAGACTTCAATTTATGAACTACCCAATCAGATATAAGATAGTAGGCCTTGGATTTTGGCGCGAAACCCATTTGTCCATTTGGCTAAATAGCGTCTCGGCATTATAGCCTATGTTAGTTCGTGATGAAAATCCTAAATCTAATTCTTAACCAGCAACCGTAAACCACAATTCTAATTCCTCACACTGCTCAATAACCGACCGTTGTTGCTACCTTGACGTGGTGGTCGGGCTTGCCCATCGTGATGAAGCAACTGAGCTACATTGGCTGGAACAACCGTTTCCAAGGTCCTACCATGCCAGACAGGTCGGTTGAAGAGCGGTAAGACTAAAAGCAACAAAACCAAGGTCCGAAGGCGAAGTCGTACTGCTGACTGTACAGAGGTGTGACAGCAGTAAGGTGTTTCCTTCAGACAACCAGCATGATAGCGATGCTGCCTTCCCACAAGGAGGAGTGGGGTTAGAAAAGGTCGACCCTAAAAATGCACACCTTGCCTTATCCCACGGATATCCGTCTCCGGCGGTAAGGTCTCAACAAGTACGGAGCTAACACAAAAATCACTCATAAGAAGGTCGTGTGTGACCGACCTCAAGCAGCTGTCCCTTGGGCACTGCGGTCACGCTCTCAGGTCACTATGACCAACTCTAATCCAATTTCCTTTTCAGCTACCTCCAGGAGAACCCTTCCACGGTGTGGGCAACCGGGAAGTGATAACTGCCCTCATACCTCTAACAGCACTCAAGACCACTGTATTCATAATCAACCTACCTCTTCAATTCCTATTATTCCTCTTTATTACACACATCGGAATCTCAAACCTGAAAAGTATCCCTCTGTATAGAAAATACCAATAAACTGAACCTCAGGTATATAAAAAACAGACACTAGAAAAAGCTGACTTGACTCGAGCACTTTAAATTTCAAGTGCTGAAACGCCTATATTGCTACAGCAAACGGAAACAAACTAAGAGAAAATGCAACGTCGATAAAAAGTCAAAAGTAAGCTTCGCACTTACCTTAACTTTAGTAGGATTTTTCGAAAACTTTTGGTCAAACGCATCCGAAAGGTTATGAGCAGGATCCGTGCTCAAAATGAGAACACGCTCACGCACTTTGGCCATTTGAACAGCAATGCTGCAACTGCATGTTGTTTTCCCAACTCCACCTTTACCTCCGACAAAGATCCAACGCAAAGTACTTGAGTCCAAAATATTCTGAATAGTAGGTTCAGGTGTGTTCATTTTTACAGCTAAAGTAAGAATCACAAACACAAATCAAACAAAGGAGACAAAACTCAATAAATATCCATTTTTATGTATTTGATAAAGCCCAGATAGATAGACTTTTCCCAACAGTAGTGGACTGTTAATTATACTGATTTATCAGGCTTTTAAAGCCAGGAATAAATTTTCCGTACCCTAGACCAAAGTAATACCGCAGACAGCTTGAGAAATATGAACCTTTTCATTTTTTGTCGCCATGAGTCTAAAATGTAGTAGAATTTACACCAAACTGTCTATTTTTTGGCTAGGTTTCTGCCACAGCTTTATAGCTGTGACTTGAAAAAAACGAGGACTAAATAGGGATTCTAGAAATTCTCCCGCCTACAATCTGGTTTTACGTTAATTAAAAATGCACTAGGCACAAACGGATAATCATCCTCATACTTCAACACGAAAAGTTAAGTACTTTTAAACTAGCCTCTCTTTAGGTCAGGAGCACAAAAATCCAAGTGTTCAGAACACAATGTAGAGTTTACGACTAATTTTCGCAAGAAATATTATTTTGAGGACCAAAATCACATGATTTGAAAACCATCTTGATATAGTGATCTGAGTGCTATATAACAGTTTGTGGCAATCGGTCAGGTAAGCTCAAATTTTTCTGAACCTATTTTCAATGCCGATGTCATTATTCAACGTAGTGTATAATTATGGTTAATTCTCATAACCTAATCGAATGACACATGTGACACCATATGGACACGAGAAACTTTCCATTTATCTCGGTAACTTCATAATTGTCTACAATATTTTCTGATAATAGTGACTCCACATTGGATAATATTCAAGATGTTTTCATTATCCAGTTGCAGAACAAATATATACAGTCAGTGAAATATCACTAGGCACCAACCAACTCAGACTGCTTATACGATAGGTGATAGATCACTAGGCATCGAGCATCCTAATGGGGGGTATATCACATGTCACCACTATGCACCTTGGCAACCAATCAGATCTGTGCACTGATGGCGGAATGCGCACCACTTCCGTCAACATCCAGACACTACAGATACCGTATTCGATCCTGCGTTTTGTCCCATTGAAGTTGCTGTTGTTCGAAGTTATATAAAATTACTTCTTTTTACTACATTCATTCCGCTAATGTTAGTTCAAGTGAACTGGATTAGATTCCTTATAGTGTATTAATGTGCCGTAAACGCTACCTGAAGTTTTTAACCCATTGAGCATCTGGGCTTTTGAATCTCAGTAATGAAGTTCTACTTCAAGCTATTGAAGAAATTCGAGACATTCTCTGAAATCTATCCTACATGGATGCATCAAAAAGCTTAGATAAGATTGTTAATAATAGAGGGCGGAGTTCCAGTGTTGTATTGACCTGGAATCTTAGCAAGTTGCAATAAGGAAAAAGACATAGAGCGATGCATTACTCACCTCCAAGTATCATTTGCAAGAAATAAAAAGCGATGAGTTATAAAACACAATGTTGCAGAAGAAAGTTAAGACAGACACATCGGTATTTAATATCAGTGTTAATTAGGCCTGTTACTCTTCATGGCACCATCAGTCGCCTATCAAGATTCCCCAACCAACTGTATCCTGGGCTCTTCTTTCCAGTTGTTTCCAATTGTTGTTAATTCCTTTGATGTCTGCTTTCGATTCCCTGCCCAATGTGTTCCTTGATCTTCCTCTTTTCTGTTTCCCTTCAGGATGTTAAGTTTGAGTTGTCCTCGTGGTGGAGTTTGATTATTTCCGAATTGTATGTCCTGTCCACCTCCAACGTCTTTTCCTAACTTACTTTTCATCTGGGAGCTGGTTTATCCTCTAGAATAGTAGGTTGTCGCTAATAATGTCCAGCCAACGGATGTGGAGTATCATGTGTAGACAATTAGTTATAAATACCTTTACATTTTTGATGATGATTGTGGTAGTTCTTCTCGTTTCGGCTCCGTACAATAGAACTGTTTAAACTTGACAGAATTCGGCTAAGAAATATGGTGTAGCGTAACTAAGCATCTGACATGCAAAACTCGCAATCAGTGCAAATTTGAGAGTTGAATTGTAGATTTTACTGTAAATGATTTTCAAAACTGCATTATTTAATTACTAGATGAACGAAAAATGTACTACGTGAAAATCTGTTTACATCACGGTAATTGACGTACTCCTTACTCGAGCTGTCTACGGAATATCGTCAAGATTGATAAGGAATGACATAAAGTTTCGGATCTACAGCACTGAACTGTCGAATACGGTGATTGTTTGATCATCTAAAGTTTGCCTCTCAATTTATTCCAACATATTATTTAACCACTACATTACCTTAGTCCGTGGTCATTAACTGTCATGTGAACTGATTCCGTTGAAAGGTGGTCAAACCATTCCTGTTAAATGCGAGTAGACCAAATGCCTAAAAGTTTATGCTTTGAAAATGAAGCCTAACTGGAACAAATATGGCTTGGTGTAAATGTCGTCAATTAACCTTCTCCAGATAGTATGCAAATAAACAGTCGAAAAAATTTAAAACGTCCCATATCATTTTGGAAACGAAAGCACGTTTGTACATTGCACAGACTTTGAAGGTTTTAAAATTTTTTACGTGGTTTTTTATCAACAATTCTTCGCCCAAAGTTAACAGTGTTTATTAGATGAAACAGCATATTTTGATGGCTTTCGTTAATTTGAGACTACATCTTGACAGATGGATAGTGGCTAGCAGTGGAATCCAATTTGACGCCCGTTTCGTGCTATTTGAGACTCGTCAGCTGGATGTCAGTCAGTCATTCAGCTTCAACGTAGGACCAGGCACATATATGCATCGGTCCAAGCTGCCATACCGCATTAGCACAACAAAATGAACACCGGATTCATAAAGTAGTCACATCAAAGGTAGTAGTATATAAAAGAAAGATTGCATATAAAGAGATAGTACAGGAAGAAAAAATTAGTTCCTAGAAAGAAAGATATGAAGTGATTTTAATCTGTTAGTTTAAAGGAAGACAGAGAGTGTATACACCGACGCCATTGTGATCGATTCTGGGCCATGTCACCAAGAGTCTCTAACCATTGATTACGATAGTCACGCGGACCCCAAGCAGGTAGTCTGCATCTACCGACATGGCTCAGACCAGAAGTTAGTGACTTCAAGCACTGATGCACCTGCATCGCAGAGTTGATGTTCACTCTGCGACTCGAACCCAGTACCGTCCGCTTCAAACGCCATCGCGTTATCAACCTAGCTACTGGATCATGAAGACGTCAACATATGAAGGGAAGCAAGGGATACAGTGGACAGCTAGGATGCAATTGGATGATCTAGACTTTGCAGATGATCTGGCTCTTCTATCGCATACACAACAACAAATGCAGGAGAAGACAACCAGTGTAGCTGCAGCCTCAGCAGCAATAGGTCTCAATATACGCAAAGGGAAAAGCAAGATTCTCCGATACGACACAGCATGCAACAATCCAATCACAATTGACAGAGAAGCTTTGGAAGACGTAGAAACATTTACATATCTGGGTAGTATCATTGATGAACACGGTGGATCTGATGCAGATGTGAAAGGCACTGATTGGCAAAGCAAGAGCAGCATATCTACAACTGAAGAATATCTGGAACTCAAAACAATTGTAAACCAACACCAAAGTCAGAATTTTCAATACAAATGTCAAGACAGTTCTAATGTATGAGGCGGAAATCTGGAAAACTACGAAATCCATCATTCAAAAGATACAAGTGTTTATTAACAGTTGTCTATGAGGAGAATGAACAAGAATTGGATGGAACTAGAAAAGAAGACCCAGGACAGAGTGGGTTGGAGAATGCTGGTCGACGGTCTATGCTCCATTGGGAGTAACAGGCGTAAGTAAGTAAGTAAGTACATCTTGACACTTAACTTCATGCGACTAATCCGTTAGGTTTCACACTGTAGACGTCTTGTATTTCGTTAGCACTCATATGTTACCTCATGACAAACATTGTACTCAGTCCCGCCTCCGAAAATGTATAACCTATTACGTTAAGTTCAAACAGTGGTACAATTTGATCAACTAATTCAAACTCCACGTGTAATATTGTTCTTGCCCAAGGCCCATATGAATACGACTTTCGAGACAAAGTATCTACGGTCAAGGGTGAGAAGTACAGATAAAAACTCGGGAAAACGTCTTCCTCAACAGATGTGCATTAATTAGTAACAGTCTTCCCTCTAAAATACACATGGCAAATGAATTGCATATGTTTTTAGTACTTCTTGATGAAACATCTCACATCTATGGAGCCTAGAACCCATCAGCCGGTTAAAATAGAACAGATTGCCAATAACACCAATGTAATGTGTGTCCCTTCTTGTCTATTCTTCATCAACTTTCTACTCTCACGAACACTATGTTGACTCACCACTAATTGTATTTCATCAACCATTGCCTTAAATATAACTAATATATTCCTATACTTTTCCGCTTTCAGTAAACATCTATCCTGCATTACACTCTTCTAAACGTCTAAACTTTGATCGGCAACCTATGCTTTTAATTGCAGTCATTTAAAGCATTGCATCGATGCCTTATCCACAGCCCATATATTATAACTGCCTAGTAAGCTTGTAAAATGGTACTCATAGAAAGCGTTTTCCAGCAGGGAGTGTAACATTGAGCATATTGTGAGATAAATTTTATCTTAAAATAAACCCTAGTGAACCTAACATCACAAAAAAGGGAGGGTGGATTTACTGATCAGCAAACAATGATGGTGAGGGCTATGACTTCAGTTCACCCATGTGTATGGAGCAGAACATTTTATTTCTATCAGCTTTTTGTGATTGAGAACGAGAAAAGTGATCAGTAATACTAAGGTTGTTTTCTTACACTCAATATTCAGATGTTTCCAATGTTGTGTTGAATTCGTTGTTCTACTATAACAACCTAAAATACAAAAATAAGAAAACGGACGATGAAGGGAAAATTTATCAGCGTTTGCCGATAATTTACTCTCTTCTGACATACTTTATACACTAATGAACAGCCTACCTCGATTTAACTTCGACAAATGCAAATTAAAGTGAAGCTTGTACCTTGAAACAAAGTTCTAATTTAAGTTTTTGCACTTATATGTAGTGCTTGCCCGCCAAATAAACAGAAAAATACTAAATATTGCACACACTTAACAGGGAAAAATATATGCTCTGCAAATTTATATAAATGCGATCCATCCTGCCATAATGCTTTTCTAAAAATAATTTGTAGCTTACAAATAAGCAGTGAGATTCCTTCCGGGTTTGAATTTTAGAGGTATGATTTGTCTTTCTTGTGTAGCATCAATCTAAATTGGTTCAAATAGTTTTAATTTTTAGTTTTCTTTGCCAACATCTAGACAATAGGACTGCCATAATCCTGGTTTATTGCTGACTTATTTTAATGCCTAATCTAACTTAAAAGTAACAGTTGTTTGAGGCATACATGGTAAGTGCCTATGGAGCAGTTACCGCCCTATATGATCAACTCGTGTGCTAACTAGATTCACAGCTCCTGCTATCAGAGTCAGTCATTGGTCTCCCTATAGAGACTAGTACTACTGTCCATATTGCCGGATTAAAACGAAATGCAAAACATGGAGGTATAAA